TGTGGTAGAGATTACTGGTGATGTGTGTGGTAGAGATTACTGGTGAAGTGTGGGGTAGACATTACTGGTGATGTGTTTGGTAGAGATTACTGGTGATGTGTGTGGTAGAGCTTACTGGTGATGTGTGGGGTAGAGATTACTGGTGATATGTGAGATAAAGATCACTGGTGATGTGTGGGGCAGACATTGCTGGTGATGTGTGTGGTAGACATTACTGGTGATGTGGGTGGTGGACATTACTGGTGATGTGTGGTAGAGATTACTGGTGATGTGTGTGGTAGACAATACTGGTGATGTGTAAGGTAGAGATTACTGGTGATGTGTGTGGTAGAGATTACTGGTGATGCGTGTGGTGGAGATTACTGGTGATTTGTGTGGTATACATTACTGGTGATGTGTGTGGTAGAGATTACTGGTGAAGTGTGTGGTAGACATTACTGGTGATGTGTTTGGTAGAGATTACTGGTGATGTGTGTGGTAGACATTACTGGTGATGTGTGTGGTAGAGATTACTGGTGATGTGTATTAGACATTACTGGTGATTTGTGTGGTAGAGATTACTGGTGAAGTTTGGTAGACATTACTGGTGATTTGTGTGGTAGAGATTACTGGTGATGTGTGTGGTAGAGATTACTGGTGAAGTGTGTGGTAGACATTACTGGTGATGTGTTTGGTAGAGATTACTGGTGATGTGTGTGGTAGACAATACTGGTGATGTGTAGGGTAGAGATTACTGGTGATGTGTGGTAGACATTACTGGTGATATGTGAGGTAGAGATTACTGGCGATGTGTGTGGTAGATATTACTGGTGCTGTGTGTGGGAGAGTTTACTGGTGATGTGTAGAATAGAGATTACTGGTGGTGTGTGTGGTAGACAATACTGGTGATGTGTAGGGTAGAGATTACTGTTGATGTGTGGTAGACATTACTTGTGATATGTGAGGTAGAGATTACTGGATGTGGGTGGTAGAGATTACTGTTGATGTGTGGTAGACATTACTTGTGATATGTGAGGTAGAGATCACTCGTGATGTGTGGGGTACACATTACTGGTGATGTCTCTGGTAGAGATTACTGTTGATGTGTGGTAGACATTACTGGGGATGTCTGGGGTAGAGATTACTGGCGATGTGTGTGGTAGATATTACTGGTGCTGTGTGTGGTAGACATCACTGGTGATGTCTGTGGTAGAGATTACTGGTGATGTGTGTGATAGAGATTACTGGTGATGTGTGTGGTAGACATCTCTGGTGATGTGTGTGGTAGAGATTACTGGTGATGTGTGCGGTAGACATTACTGGTGATGTCTGTGGTAGACATTACTGGTGATGTCTCTGGTAGAGATTACTGGTGATGTGTGCGGTAGACATTACTGGTAATGTCTGTGGTAGACATTACTGGTGATGTCTGTGGTAGAGATTACTGGTGATGTGTGTGTGGTAGAGATTACTGGTGATGTGTGTGGTAGACATCACTAGTGATGTCTGTGGTAGAGATTACTGGTGATGTGTGTGGTAGAGATTACTGGTGATGTGTGTGGTAGACATTACTGGTGATTTTCGTGGTAGAGATTACTGATGATGTGAGTGGTAGAGATTACTTATGATGTGTGTGGTAGACATTGCTGGTGATATGTGAGGTAGAGATTACTGGTAATGTGTGTGGTAGACATTACTGGGGATGTGTGGGGCAGAGACTACTGGGAATGTGTGGGGTAGAGCTTACTGGTGATGTGTCGGGCAGAGGCTACTGGTAATGTGTGAAGAAGAGATTACTGGTGATATGTAGGCTAGAAGTCACTGGTGATGTGTGTGGTATACATTACTGGTGATGTATGGGGTGGAGATTACTGGTGATGTCTGTGGTAGAGATTACTGGTGATGTGTGGGGTAGAGATTACTGGTGATGTGTCGGGCAGAGACTACTGGTAATGTGTGGGGTAGAGCTTACTGGTGATGTGTCGGGCAGAGACTACTGGTAATGTGTGAAGAAGAGATTTCTGGTGATATGTAGGCTAGAAGTCACTGGTGATGTGTGTGGTATACATTACTGGTGATGTATGGGGTAGAGATTACTGGTGATGTCTGTGGTAGAGATTACTGGTTATGTGTGTGGTAGACATTACTGGTGATGTGTGTGGTAGACATTACTGGTAATGTGTGCTGTAGAGATTACTGGTGATGTGTGTGGTAGACATTACTGGTGATGTGTGTGGTAGAGATTACTGGTGATATTTGAGGTAGAGATTACTGGTATTGTGTGTGGTAGAGATTACTGGTGATGTGTGAGGTAGAGATTACTGGTGATGTGTGTGGTAGAGATTACTGGTGATGAGTGTGGTAGAGGTGATTTGTGTAGTAGAGATTACTGGTGATGTGTGTGGTAGAGATTACTGGTGATGTGTGTGGTAGACATTACTGGTGATGTGTGGGGTAGAGATTACTGATGATGTGTAGGGTAGAGATTACTGGTGATGTTTGTGGTAGAGATTACTGGTAATGTGTGTGGTAGACATTATTGGTGATGTGTGGGGCAGAGACTACTGGTAATGTGTGGGGCAGAGACTACTGGTAATGTGTGCGGTAGAGATTACTGCTGATATGTGAGGTAGAGATTACTGGTAATGTGTAGGGTAGAGATTACTGGTGATATGTGAGGTAAGGATCACTGGTGATGTGTGGGGTAGAGATTTCTGGTGATATGTAGGCTAGAAATTACTGGTGATGTGTGTGGTAGACATTACTGTTGATGTGTGGGGTAGAGATTACTGATGATGTGTAGGGTAGAGATTACTAGTAATGTGTGTGGTAGACATTAATGGTGATGTGTGGGGCAGAGACTACTGGTAATGTGTGGGGTAGAGATTACTGGTGATGTGTCGGGCAGAGACTACTGGTAATGTGTGCGGTAGAGATTACTGGTGATATGTGAGGTAGAGATTACTGGTAATGTGTAGGGTAGAGATTACTGGTGATATGTGAGGTAGAGATCACTGGTGATGTGTGTGGTAGACATTACTGGTGATGTGTGTGGTAGACATTACTGGTGATGTGTGTGGTAGACATAACTGGTGATATGTGGGGTAGAGATTACTGATGATGTGTGTGGTAGACATTACTGGTAATGTGTGCGGTAAAGATTACTGGTGATATGTGAGGTAGAGATTACTGGTAATGTGTAGGGTCGACATTACTGGTGATGCGTAGGGTAGAGATTACTGGTGATGTTTGTTGTAGAGATTACTGGTGATTTGTGAGGTAGAGATTACTGTTGATATGTGTGGTAGAGATTACTGGTAATGTGTGTGGTAGAGATTACTGGTGATATGTGGGGTAGAGATTACTGGTGATGTCTGTGGTAGAGATTACTGGTGATGTGTGTGGTAGAGATAACTAGTGATGTGTGTGGTAGACATTACTGGTGATGTGTGGGGTAGAGATAACTGGTGATGTGTGTGGTAGACATTACTGGTGATATGTGAGGTAGAGATTACTGGTGATGTATGGGGTAGAGATTACTGTTGATATGTGAGGTAGAGATTACTGGTAATGTGTAGGGTCGACATTACTGGTGATGCGTAGGGTAGAGAATTACTGATGATGTGTAAGGGAGGGAATTGTCATGTTTGGGAGGAAGACTGATCGCTTAGGGGACTGGCGATGTCAGCTGTATGGACTAGCGATGGCAGCTGCGTGGACTGGCGATGACAGCTGTGTGGACTGGCGATGACAGCTGTGTGGATTGGCGATGACAGATGTGTGGACTAGCGATGTCAGCTGTGTGGACTGGCGATGTCAGCTGTATGCACTAGCGATGACAGCTGAGTGGAATGGCGATGACAGCTATGTTGACTGGCGATATCAGCTGGCGGGATTGGCAATGTCAGCTGTGTGGACTGGCGATGACAGCTGTGTGGACTAGCGATGTCAGCTGTGTGGACTGGCGATGACAGCTGTGTGGACTAGCGATGTCAGCTGTGTGGACTTGCGATGTCAGCTGTATGCACTAGCGATGGCAGCTGCGTGGACTGGCGATGACAGCTGTGTGGACTGGCGGTATCAGCTGTCTGGATTGGCAATGTCAGCTGTGTGGACGGGCGATGTCAGCTGTGTGGACTGGCGATGACAGCTATGTGGACTGGCGATGACAGCTGTGTGGACTGGCGGTATCAGCTGTCTGGATTGGCAATGTCAGCTGTGTGGACGGGCGATGTCAGCTGTGTGGACTGGCGATGACAGCTGTTTTGACTGGCGATGACAGCTTTGTGGACTGGCGATGACAGTTGAGTGGACTGGCGATGTCAGCTGTCTGGATTGGCAATGTCAGCTGTGGGGACTGGCGATGTCAGCTGTGTGGACTGGCGATGGCAGCTATGTGGACTGGCGATGACAGCTGTGTGGACTGACGATGACAGATGTGTGGACTGGCGATATCAGCTGTGTGGACTGGCGATGACAGCTGTTTTGACTGGCGATGACAGCTTTGTGGACTGGCGATGACAGCTGTGTGGACTGGCGATGTCAGCTGTGTAGAGTGGCGATGTCAGCTGTGTGGACTGGCGATGACAGTTGTGAGGACTGGCGATGTCAGCTATCTGGATTAACGATGTCAGCTGTGTGGAGTGGCGATGTCAGCTGTGTGGACTAGCGATGCTGGCGATTGGGATTGATATTTGGGATAATGAATTAAATAGAATATCTTAACGGTCAGTTTCTACGTAAGATACATCATATGATAGAAATAAGACTGTCTACACGTGTATGTACTTCACTTAATCAATATGATAGAGATCGAACATTTACAATACTTTAAACACTTTAAAAAACAAAAACCGATGTGTATTATCTGTCTGTTGTAAGTCGAGTAACAGAATTATACCACAGACGTGAACAGAACGTGGTGGGAACAGTTTGTAAAACACATGTCGTTATCAACACAAAGACAGTCATTAAATCTCCTATATAAACAGGCTTTCTCATACACAAAGTATTTAGCCGGGGTATTCTTGCGTCCCGCTCACTCAGGTGGGGTAATTAAAGGTACGCTATTGACGGTTATTGATAAAGAAGGAAAGGGTTTGCATTGCCGAGAGGACCTGTCATAGGAATAACGTTGGACATACAAGGCATAGAAAAGATTAGTTTCGTATTTGAAATGTTCAACAGACTACAGTGACATTGGAAGAATGTGAGCACTTACGTACATTGACGACGGGATATATGTGTTGCTTGTATAGATATTATATAGCTTAATACCGGGTATACAGCCAATATCAAGGTAGGCAAGTCTTCATTATGTCTATTTATTATTATGTATTATGTAATTATGTCTACATGTATCAGTATATAATAAGACATCTTTAGTTTATAATGTGATCAAACTGAAATATGATTATTCAACAACACTGGTATCGCAGTTCGAATTCAGAACTTAACTATTTCAAATTGTGTTCAAAAGTTTAACACAGGAAATCTCTATTCAAATTATACACTTACTAAATATAACTGAAACGACATTACCTACTTACATTAATAAAAGTCATCAGATAACCATTCTTATACATGGCAGTGAAAAAAATCTTACTAGTTTGGGATTAAAATTCAAACAACTATTAACGTACAATATATACATATACTGTGTGACACATTGACGTAGTCTATACAGATACAGTATGACACATTGACGTAGTCTATACAGATACAGTGTGACACATTGACGTAGTCTATACAGATACAGTGTGACACATTGACGTAGTCTATACAGATACAGTGTGACACATTGACGTAGTCTATACAGATACAGTGTGACACATTGACGTAGTCTATACAGATACAGTGTGACACATTGACGTAGTCTATACAGATACAGTGTGACACATTGACGTAGTCTATACAGATACAGTGTGACACATTGACGTAGTCTATACAGATACAGTGTGACACATTGACGTAGTCTATACAGATACAGTGTGACACATTGACGTAGTCTATACAGATACAGTGTGACACATTGACGTAGTCTATACAGATACAGTGTGACACATTGACGTAGTCTATACAGATACAGTGTGACACATTGACGTAGTCTATACAGATACAGTGTGACACATTGACGTAGTCTATACAGATACAGTGTGACACATTGACGTAGTCTATACAGATACAGTGTGACACATTGACGTAGTCTATACAGATACAGTGTGACACATTGACGTAGTCTATACAGATACAGTGTGACACATTGACGTAGTCTATACAGATACAGTGTGACACATTGACGTAGTCTATACAGATACAGTGTGACACATTGACGTAGTCTATACAGATAAAGTGTGACACATTGACGTAGTCTATACAGATACAGTGTGACACATTGACGTAGTCTTTACAGATACAGTGTGACACATTGACGTAGTCTATACATATACAGTGTGACACATTGACGTAGTCTATACATATACAGTGTGACACATTGACGTAGTCTATACATATACAGTGTGACACATTGACGTAGTCTATACATATACAGTGTGACACATTGACGTAGTCTATACAGATAAAGTGTGACACATTGACGTAGTCTATACAGATATAGTGTGACACGTTGACGTATTATTAACAGATATAGTGTGACACATTGACGTAGTCTATCCAGATAAAGTGTGACACATTGACGTAGTCTATACAGATACAGTGTGACACATTGACGTAGTCTATACAGATACAGTGTGACACGTTGACGTAGTATTAACAGATATAGTGTGACACATTGACGTAGTCTATACAGACACAGTGTGACACATTGACGTAGTCTATACAGATACAGTGTGACACATTGACGTAGTCTATACAGATACAGTGTGACAAACTGACATAGTCTATACAGATACAGTTTGACACATTGACGTAGTCTATACAG